GAAGTATAGGCAGGACAACCAGACAGGAAGTAGAGGTGGGTCAATGAGAACAGGAGAATTGTGGGAAGGAGACAGCCCATTCCTCTGCAGTTGTGAGCCGGCCACAGAAGAAGCAAGATGTGACTGCCTTGCTGAAAAAGGTACTGAGCCACGTGGCTAACACAGATAAGAACAATGGGGTAATATAAGTTCTAAGAGTTAATAAGAAGCCTGAGCTAATGGGCCAACCAGTTTATAACTAATGTAGAACTCTGGGACTTAACGACTGCAGGAACCGGGCAGGACAGAAACACTGACAACGGTGTTTCTCCAACAGTGTTGGAGAGGCACCTAATAGATCACTCTAGAAGGAATTTCCCAGAGTGCACCGGAACTGCTGAGTTAGCCTCTGAATGATATATCTGTCCAGGTCCCAGCTCTCCACAACAGCAATGGCTCTACTTCACGTCATGTAATAGCTGGACAGGGGGCTGTGGACAGGTTCGTGCGGAGGATCAGAGAACAAGTGAGTTCTTTCGCACTTCGCAGTTTCAGTGCTACAGTAGGTATGTGTCAGGAGGTACAGAGTGGCAAATGGTGACAGGCTAGGGGGAGCCACAGAGAGGTGCCGCCAATAGGTAGGGCTATGCCCTGTGCTTCGGAATGTCACTTGGGCAAGGCGAGAGATAGTGCTAGGAGCTTTGGCAGCAGTTAAGGAAGACATAGAACCTCATGACTGTGTACAGGTGGACTCCCACAACAATAGGGCACATAGTGGTACCGGCCAGGGAGGCTTGCATTTCCATACCTGCTACTAAAAGGGACCATCTCACAGGAGTTTCTTCGGGAACCCCCTGCCACATGCCCTCTGGCCAGAGTGCACCTGAAGGAGTCATTGCTAGCGTGAATAACACATGTTATACTCTAACATATGAACACAGAAAAGAAGCAGCAATGATGTCTGTGACCTTGGAAAGTCCCACAGAGAGAACCCTGCAATGCCATCTGTCCGCAGGAGTGGATTCACCCCTACAGCTTCCCACCTGATTCACGGACATCATGGTGGGGGTGGCATTCACGGACCCACATTCTGGCTTGCATGCTGGTCTCTTAGCACTTTCCTAAAGGAATGCCAGGTGGCATTCAGGTTCCTAAAATGGGCATCAATATTGTATAGAGACATTATACAAAGACAAGGAAGTCAACCTTGCCCTTAAATACCTGTTGTCCAGCAACGAGGGCTGCTATGTCCAGCACTCCGGCTGAGTGTTAGGCTCCTATCTCCACCACTAAGTCCTCTATGCGGGTCTTCATGGTAAGGGTGAGGAAAGTCCAACTGAATGAGTTATAGTCACTTATTAAAAGAACAGAGAAGCAGAATGTCAATTTTGTCCGATGGCAGAGTCCTTGCTGCCCTTTATTAAACCACTGCAACTGCAAAATAATAAACGACATACTAAAGCATGGTGTGAAAGCTGTTACTGCAGTGTCTGCAAGGCTGGCGGCACATGGAGGAAAAGAGAGAGAAGCTGATTCTCAGCACATGAATACCAGAAGCCCACATTGCACTATACTGTAGATAAGGAGGCCGTAGCTGAATAGTAACAAACCTCTCTATGGGACTGTGGAAGGGGAGTGGTGAGATGGCTCAGCAGGCCAAGGCACCTGCTGCCAAGCCTGATGACCTGAGTTCGAATCCCAGGACCTACATGGTAGAAGACGAGAACCAAATCTCACACATTGTTCTCTGACCTCCACATGTTTATGCAGCATGTGTGTACACACTTCCACAAAAAAATAAATGAAAAATTAAATAAATAATTTTTTTAAAAATAGAGAACTATAGTAGGTTGACAGTGGATTAACAGAACAGGGCCAATCATCAGCTACATTCATTCATTCATGTCTACTGTTACATTAAATGTAATTTTCTAACCCTGAGTCCCATTTCCCTTCTGAGGTCACCATATTAACACCTGCTCCGTGGTATTCTAGGCCTGCTTCAGCACATCTGCAAACACACTGACACCTACAAACATTGTGTTCTTGTTTTCTCTTTCACTCTGCAATACTGGGTGGGGACTTGGCCTCTACTCCCTAGGTATTTATTTATTGTGGGCTTTAAAAAGATTGGTCTTATTTTTGATTGCATGCATATGTGTGTATTTGTGTGTGAGTGTGTGTGTATGAGTGCAGGTGCTCACACAGGATAGAGGTGGAGGATCCGTTGGAACTGGAGTTACCAGCTGTTGTGAACCGCCAGAAGGAGGCACTGGGGGCAGCATGTGGGTCCTCTAATAAAGCAGCGAGCCCTCTCAGCCTGGACCATCTCTCCAGCCTCATATTAGTATTTTAGAACAACTGCGTAAAGTAGGTTCTATAGTTTATCTAACCAAACAAGCATGTGAACAATTTCATTGCTTCCAAGTTTGGTTGCTTCAAAAAGGTTGCATAGAGCAAACAGATGTGTGTGTGTGTGTGTGTGTGTGTGTGTGTGTGTGTGTGTGTGTGTGCCTTAACACACAGGTCTTGAAGTGCTATCAGAAGCTCCTTGCTGGCCACTTCTCTGTCAACTTGACACAAGCTAAAGTTATCTGAAAGGAGGGAACCTCTGTTGAGAAATGCCTTCATCAGTTCTGGCTGTAAGGCATTTTCTTAGTGATTGATGTGGGAGAGCTCAGCCCATTGTGAGCGGTGTCATTCTTGGGTGGATGACCCTGGTTTCTATAAGAAAGTAGGCAGAGCAAGTCAAAGCAAGCAACCCTCCATAGCCTTTGCATCAGGTCCTGCTTCCAGGTTCCTGAATTGTTGGTGATTCAGTCTTGATTTCCTTCAACGATGAACAGTGATATGGAAGTGTAAGCCAAAGAAACCCTGTCCTCCCCTAGTTGCTTTGATCATGGTGTTTCATCATAACAATGGTAACCCTAACCAAGACATTTTCCTGAATCTTGAGTTCCTGAGTTTAAAATTTGTTCTTTAATCCCTTTTTCTTTCTTCACCTGTAATTTCTTTTAGTGGGATATTAGGTGAGATTAATATTGATTTAAAAATTATTTCATATTTTCTGTGTGTATGAGAAAGAGACAGAGAGAGAGGAGAGAGGGAGGGAGGAGAAAGGAAGGGAGAGAGGGAGGGAGAGAGGAAGGGAGGGAGGGAGGGAAAGAGAGAGAGAGAGAGAGAGAGAGAGAACACAGAGAAAGCAACCTAGAGCTCTGAACAAATTGGGAAGCAAAGTGCTCTTCCACTGAGCTGCATCCCCAGTCCTATGCATTTGTCTTAAAAACAGTGACAGCGCAACTTTCTGAGATATTTCTATACCTTTATTATCAACCCTGTGTTAAATTTTTAAAACTTACTATTTCGTACTTTTAATTTCTTGTCTTTTCACAGTGACTAATTTTTGTTTTATAGATACATAATTTTCTTGTACACCTCCACAATACACTAATAATACTATCTTGATTTTCATTTTTTCCATGGCTTAGCTTTAAATTCTGAAGCTAAATGCTACAGCTTTCTTTTTTAATTTTCAAAATTGACATACAAAATAATGGGTTTCGTTATGGCATTTCCAAACCCACTTTGAGGTGGACTAGAATATTTGTTTAACTATGTAAAGATGTGTTGCATTTGTTTGCATTGTGGAATAGTTGTTTAATAATCTAAAGATATGTGCTTTTGTTTCTGCTGCATTTGTTTAACTATGTAAAGATGTGTTGCTGTTTCACCTTGCCTGCCAAAGGCACCTGATTGGTCTAATAAAAAACTGAATGGCCAGTAGCTAGGCAAAGGAAGGATAAGCAGGGTTGGTGTGAAGATGGACATGGAAAAGAAATTTCACACTAGCTCAGAATTGAGTATAATAAAGGGTTATTTATTTAGGGGTAGACTCATGCAAGCCAAAGCAAGCAACCTCAAACCGGGAACAGCAACCAAATCCTGCAGCAGGAAGAGAGGACGGATACGCACTTTACAATGGCATTGATAGTATAAGAGGCCACATCCAAGTGGGCAGGTAACTTAAAGGCTACTGGCTGTAGGAATTCCTACAGCATTGGTGGGCAGAGAGAAAAGGTGAGCCAGCCAGGGTCCAGCCAGTCAGACAGGGAGTAAGCAAGGAAAGTAGGATGGACAGTCCATAGAGGAGGTAAATGAGCCTCAGGGCAGCACGTAGATTGATAGAAATGGGTTAATTTAAGTTAAAGGCCAAGCATTACCAACTAGTAATAAGTCTGTGTCATGACTTGGGGGCTGGCGGCTCAAAAAAGCCTGCTATACCACTTTGACCTTCCTCCCCTAACTCCTAATCTTCTTTTCACTCCCCTATTGGCCCACAGGTTTCCCCAAGATGCCCTTCCTGCTTCCCTCTCTTGCCCTCCTCCCCCACACCACTTGCCCCTTCCTCTCTCCACTAGCTCCCCTTAAGCTTCCATGTCAAATGAATTTAATTTCCTTCCTTTTCTGTCTTTCTGCTCCCCAGGTCTCTTTTCCCCTCTCATGGTCTCCTTTCTAGATTAATGGTCCATTTCCCCTCCCCCACCTGATCCTGCAGCCATTCAGTCCCAAAGAAATACACAGATGCTTATATTAATTATAAACGGTTTGGCCTATCGTTCAGGCTTATTACTGACTACCTCTTACAACTTAAATTAATCCATAATTCTTATTTATGTTTAGCCACGTGACTTGGTACCTTTTCTCAGTAAGGCCTTCTCATCTTGCTTCTTCTGCATCTGGCTGGCAACTGCATCTCTGCCTCTTCCCAGAATTCTCCTGCTCTGCTTGCCCCACCTATACTTCTTGCCTGGCTACTGGCTAATCAGTATTTTATTAAACCAATAGGAGTGACAAATCTTTACAGTGTACAAGAGCATTATCCCACAGCATCTTCATATATAAAAATAAAAATCTAGGAACCACATATGAGAAAAAATGTGGTATTTTTACTTCTTTTTTTTTAACCTTAGGCATGTCTTTATTCACTTGGATGCTGTACAAATATTATAATTTCCTTTTGCTGAAAAAAGTATAAAAATAATCTTTATATAGGAATCCATTCGTTACTGTAAATCTTTCTAAATCTCTGCAAATGGCTCTAGATGAGGGTAAGTGAATAAACAGAAGGGAGGGAGGGAGTATGGGGTAGAAGGAGACTGGGCCACTCTTCAGGGACCAGCCCACCCAGATTCCTAGCTAGACACATCAATTCCTTATTAACCCCCTCCACCAAGGCCGAGTTCCAGGACTCGGGGCATAGCAGAAAGAAACACATGAGAGGCTCAGAAGCTGCAGGGTGAGCAGGTGGGAAAGGAAGTTAGGCTGGCAGCTGGCAACTACCCAGCTTCACCCGCTTTCCCTCCTCCTTAGGAGAAGAGTGGCTGATAGGAACAGAGCAGATGTGCCACTGGGTGGCAGCTGTACCCAGCTGAGGACGGCTTCAGAAAAGAAAAGGCAAACATTTTGGGCTCCATGTAGAGAGGGCTAAGCTCTCTCCCTTGCTCTGCTAGCACAGCACAAGTGCCAGCGCGAGACATGGTAGCATGGCCGGAACTGAGCAACTGGGGAAGGCTGAGGAAGCCCAGAGTCAGGGGCTCTCTCAGCTCGGGGTGGGGGTTGGGGCATAAGTGGCTCCCAGCCCAGACAGTCTGGGTTGCAGCTGCACAGGACATGTCAGAGGTTGAGAACAGGAACATCAAAAAGATCACAGACACCTTCACTCTCGTCCAGGTTGTAGATGTAATCGTGGTCTCCGGGAGGTGGAGAAAGTCGGAGGAGGGGGGCAAACACTTCTGAAGACATCAATTCCTCCAGCAGCTCAGAGCTCATGCACTCTCGTGTGGGGTCGAAAATTTCTGACAGCTCTTTGGGGAGATCCAGAACACCTGTGGGGTCTGCCTTGATGGGCTCAAAGGAGGTAGAAGGGTTGGGTCCAGATGAACTGCTGCTGCTGCTGCTGCTGCTGCTGCTGCTGTCCAGGAGGGCAGAAGACTGCAGAGGCCGAGTGTCCAATGTTGTCAGGCCCAGCGGGAGTGAGCTGAGCTCACCACTGTCCTTGTTTTCAGTTCCAGGGCCACCACTCACTGCAATCTCTGCTGTCTGGCCTGCCACCTCTGAGACTTCAGTGCTGCCAAGGACAGGAGCGGGGGTGGTTAACTGGGGACTGCATGGACGAGAGGTTTCCTGGGGCTGAGCTAAGGCAGGCTTGGGCAGAGGTGGAGGAGTAGAAAAGGCAGGTGGACTCTGGAGCAGATCCTCAGGGGGAGGTACAGGCACCGCCACAGGTGTCGAACTCCAGGCCTCCTTGTTCACTAGCAACACCTCGATGGGGCCGCTCATGCTCTTTAAGTGAATCTGGTACTTCTTCTGACCATTGAGACCCTCTGGGATGGGCACCTCTAGACTGGTGCCTGATGGGGCCCGGATGGCAAGCGGGATGTCTCCAGCAAAGCATCTACAGATGTCTTCGTGGGTCACATAGGCCAAGCAGCTGTTCTGGACGTCCTCTGTGACATTCCGGATGCTCTGCTGCACCCACACCTTGTGCTGGTCAAGCTCTTGCTCCCGCTGCTGCAGCTCCTCGATCTCTGCCTTGAGCTCAATCAGCTTGTCGGCAATCTCCCGGGTATTGCAACCGGGCCCCACACCCTACCACTGGATGCTGTTCTTGGACTTTTTCTCGATCAGACCAATACCTTCCAACACGCTGGTGATGTCGTAAATCCGCCGTTTCTGGCGCACAGCGAGAGTGTCGGCTGCCAGCTTGAGGTCAAGCACGCCGTCCTTGGCTTCCTGCAGAAGCGACACGAACTTGGTGGTGAGAAGCCCCAGACTCTTGTCGTGCCTGCTTGGAGTACCCGGGGGCGGCGGCGCCTGTGGCCCGGCCTCCGCCATCGCGCCCGCCTGCCCTCCGCCTCCCCTCAGCCAGGCCAGGCCAGGCCGGCGGCCGGTATTTTTACTTCTAAGTCATGCTTGCTTTCTTTAACAAAATACTTTCCAGTTCCATATTTTTCTTGTACATGTCATGATTTTCTTTTTCTTTTTTCTTTTGGTTGAATAAAATTCCACAGTGAATATATACCACATTTTCTTTATCTGTTCAACTCCTGGTGGCCTAGGCTCCTTTTTAGCTATTGTCCCTAGCGCAGGCATAAACAGGAATACACAAGCATTTCTGTAGTAAGACTTAGACTCCTCTCATTATATTCTGAAGAGTTATAGAGCTGGATCATAGGTGGTTCTATTTTTAGCTTTTTGAGGAACCTTCATCCTGAGCACCATAGTAGCTATACTGGTTTATACTCTCAATGGCAAGGACTAATTGGTTTTATTTCTCTGTATCCTCACAAGTAATTATTTTCTTGATATTAACCATTCTGATTTAGGCAAGATGAACTCTCAAAGGAATTCTAATTTGTATATCCCTGATGTCTAAGGATATTGGACACTTAAAAAAATATTTATTGGCCTCTTGTTTTCTTTTCTTTTGAGAACCGTCTATTTAGTGTGTTGGTCTACTTATTGACTAGAATATATATATATATTTGCTATTTCTTACAGTCATTTGGATTTGGTTTCTTCATGTTTTTCTAAACCCTTGGGTATATCATTAGGTTATTTAATTGAGCTCTCTCTCTCTCTCTCTCTCTCTCTCTCTCTTCAATATGGGTGCTTATATAAGTGTACAGCTTTTCTCTACATATTACATATAATTGTTAAGTTGGTTCGGTTGAGTTGAAGTATGAACAGTTTTGGTGCATTGTCTTTAATCCTGACTCTAATTCTTTTTAATTAGCTTCAGAAATTGCAGGGTAGTTCAGGTAGGCTAGTCAAAAGTTCTGAGAGTCGTTTCCGGCAGGATCGGATTTCATTTTAGAGTCTCTGTTAGAAGTGATCAGAGGTATTCAAATGAAGTTTGAAAGGCTCGGTGAAAACACTGTGTGGAGTTTCCTCTCTGGTCCCTTCCTCTGCCTGTCCTTTGTAGAGAGGAAAACAGGAACTGGATCGTCTTGGATGAGTAAGAGCGCCCAGAGCCATCCACGCGGTTCGCAGCGTTCTGATGACATCATGAGCAGAGCGACAGGGGCCTCATTCTCACATCTGTCATGTCACCAGTCGCCAGAAGCCTTCAGTGTAATTACAGCCCATGTGACAGTGGTGCCCCCGGTATTTCCCACAGATATAATCAGTGACGAGTTGTGCCACCCTAATTAAAATGTTGTTGGTGTCTCAATTATCAACTCTTTTAAAAGGGCTTTTATTATATAACCATGAAAGCTTGCTTCAGGCTGAGATTTAACATGTTCATATCAGGGTTGGACAAGTGTTAGGGAATTGGAAAAACACTGGGTATGTGTACTCTCTTACACCCACACTGGAGCACTCCTGAACATCTGATGACTGACGGAAGATATATAGACACGGTGTGCCTTTGGAAATAGCTGTTTGAACTGTCTTGTGGAGTTATGCCCTGGATATCAAAATGGGGGTCTTAAGTTGGCTTAATATTTAAGACGTAGGGAATAACTGGAAGTCACCTGTGGCCATTTTGTCAGGAACACACACGCACGCACACACACACATTCGTGCATGCACTGGGGTAGAAACAATCATATTCTAAGATGAAGTCTGTTCTAGAATAGACTCCTTAGTTTAGTTAACCTCAGTAGTTCCTTGGGTTGCCCACAGTAGGATTTTCTGGCTTTTCACAAATCGGATGACCCAGAACTTTCCAAGGGTGAGAGACAGCAATCAAAATTGGTGTTTCCAGGCCCAGGTTTGGAGGCACATGCCTGTAATGTCGGCACTGGTGAGCCAGAGGCAGGAAAATTACTCCAAGTGTAAGTTCAACTCGGTCTATCCAGCACTTCCAGACCGTCTTTTTGGGAACTTGAGAAAGGAGCAAAGTGTCCAGTGTGGTGCAGATGCATTATGGGAAAGAACACTTAGAGGAAAAACACCTTACGTCATCCAGCCTGTCAGTGGAAACAGAAAATCACACTCCCAATCCCCCTCCCTGCAAGTCCAAGCTCAGCCTCCTCTGAGAGCTTACAAAACAAAGCCCCAAACAATGACCCAGCCCTTGAACACACTTTCAATCAGTTGGCCTCTGCTCTTTGGAAGAGCGTTGGAACTGTACTACTGCTTTGTTTCTGATTGACGTTTCCCTGCCACTCTGTAATCTGTGTGCATCTGTATTTTAGTTCTTTGACTGAGACAACAAGAACCTGGAAATTTTGGGTCCAGACAGGACCATGGGTTACAAGCCTACAAAGGCTGAGTCTCTAGTACTTGAGGAGGATGGAAAAAGGAATGGAGAAGGGGGATGGATAAAAACGGAGTATAAACACATACACGCACATGCATGTGCACACACCCACACACTCCCCATATTAAAACCCATTGGTTGGTACACTTACATCAAATGTTCATTTTAAAAATGCTAAAAAGATGGCAATAGAGGTGAAACAAATCTTTAATATTAAAGTTTTAGGTTCTAGGGATTAGCCAAATAAATGATATTTTGTGCATGGACGGTGTTCCCTAAATCACACGTGTGGGAACTGTCAAATTCTGGTTCCACTCAAGAGGTGCATTTATAATTTTCCTAATATCTCCCTCCCACTCATGTAAGCAGCTGTATGCAAATATCGGTCATAGTAGAAAGGTCCACAGGTTTTTCTAACTACCTGGGATGAATAGATACCTTTGAGAACTTGTGTGCATTGAGATATCTGTGGGCTCTGTGCACTTCAGCTTCATAGGCCCCTAAGAAAAAAAATCATTTCTTACTACTGCAGATAAAGATACTAATATTATATGGTAAGACATTTTTTCCTTGACCTAAAAGTTCATGTTTTATTTCCAAGTTCAAGAGAAATTAAAACATTTTTTTTTGTATGCCTTCAAAAGTGTCTTTGGTCTAAAACTGGTTTTGCCTAATAGAAGTTTACCTTTTCAAAAAGATTTTATACTTAAAACTAGCTAAATATAGCCTATTCATTTATTCAAAGATTGTAACATATGCATTTTGTGGATAGTTAGTACTTACTATTACTTGACTAAAAATATTCAGAGATAGTGAATTCTTTTTTTTTTGTAAATTTTATTAAATTATAAAAGTTTCCATTTCCGCCCCCCTCCCAACACCCTCCCACTCCCCCCACTCCCCCTCCTCCTCCCTCTTCATCCCCCAGGGCAGTCAGGGTTTCCTGCCCTGTGGGAAGTTCCAGTTCCTTCCCCCTCCCTCCAGGTCCAGGAAGGTGAGTGTCCAAACAGACTGGATCCCCAAAATCCAGTATATGTAGAGGAAACAGGTCCCAGTGTCATAGTCAATGGCTTTTCAGAAAGACTTCGGGCCAGCCACAGTCATAGAATCCGGCCAAATTCCGAGAATCTGGTTAGATCACGTCCTCGTTCAGTCCCAGTCCAACTGGCCTTGGTAAACTCTCATCAGATCCGTTCCCTTGAATCAGTGGGTGATAGCATCCCTTGCAGTACTGCTTTCGTTTTTCATGTTCTTCCTCCTTCTGCTCCTCATTTGGACCTCGGGGGGCTCAGTCCGGTGCTCCAATGTGGGTCTCCGACTGTATCGCCGTCCTTCGCCAGATGAAGGATCTCCTGGTGGATAGCTAAATAATCTTCATCAGGTTCATCTTCTTATTTAGCTTCTCTAGGATCACGAATAATAGTCTCAAAGACCTTTAATTATGGTTAGAATCCACTTATGAGTGAATACATACCGTGTTCCTCTTTTTGGGTCTGGCTTACCTCACTCAGTAAAGCGTTTTCTATTTCCATCCATTTGCATGCAAAATTCAAGATGTCATTGTATTTTACCGCTGAGTAAAACTCTAATGTGTATATGTTCCACACCTTTTTTAACCATTCTTCTATTGAGGGGCACCTAGGCTGTTTCCAGGTTCTGGCTATTACAAATAGTGCTGCTATGAACATAGTAGAACAAATGCTTTTGTAGTATGTTAGGGAATCTTTAGGGTATATTCCCAAGAGTGGAATTGCTGGGTCCTGAGGGAGGTTGACTCCCAGTTTCCTGAGAAACCGCCACACTGATTTCCACAGTGGCTGCACGAGTTTGCATTCCCACCAACAATGGATGAGTGTTCCCCTCACCCCACATCCTCTCCAGCATAGGCTATCGTTGGTGTTTTTGACTTTAGCTATTCTGACAGGTGTAAGATGGTATCTCAAAGTGGTTTTGATTTGCATTTCCCTGATCGCTAAGGAGGTTGAGCATGACCTTAAGTGTCTTCTGGCCATTCGAAGTTCATCTGTTGTGAATTCTCTGTTAAGTTCAGTACCCCATTTTTTAATTGGGTTAATTAGAGTTTTAGTGCCTAGTTTCTTGAGTTCTTTGTATATTTTGGAGATCAGACCTTTGTCTGATGAGGGATTGGTGAAGATCTTCTCCCAGTCAGAAGGCAGCCTTTTTGTCCTACTGACAGTGTCCTTTGCTTTACAGAAGCTTCCCAGTTTCAATAGATCCCATTTATTCATTGTTTCTCTTATTGTCTGTGCTGCTGGGGTCCTACTTAGGAAGAGGCCTCCTGTGCCTAAATCTTGTAGACTACTTCCCACTTTCTCTTCTATCAGGTTCAAAGTGGACGGATTAATGTTGATGTCTTTAATCCATTTGGACTTGATTTTTGTGCATGGTGATAGATATGGATCTACTTTCATTTTTTTACAGGTTGACATCCAGTTATGCCAGCACCATTTGTTAAAGATGCTTTCCTTCTTCCATTGTATACCTTTAGCTCCCTTGTCGAAAATTAGGTGTTCATAAGTTTGTGGGTTAATATCTGGGTCTTCTATTCGATTCCATAGGTCGACTTCTCTGTTCTTATGCCAATACCAAGCTGTTTTCAATACTG